GAAGCAGCCCAAATGTTCATTGATTGATGAACAGATAAAGAAGATGTGGTATACATATACAATGGAATATTATTCAGTAATGAAATCTTGCCATTTGCAATGACATGGATGGAGTTAGACAGTATTTTGCTAAGTGGAGTAAATCAGACAAGGACAAATACGATATGATTCACTCACATAGAATTTAAGAAACAAAACAAACAAGCAAAGAGGAAAAAAGAGAGACAAACCAAGAAATAGACTTAATTACACAGAACTGATGGTAGGGTTGGTGAATGGGTTAAATAGGTGATGGAGATTAAAGACTGCACTTGTAATGAGCACCAGGTGATATATGAAATTTTTGAATCACTATACTGTACACCTGAAACTAATACAACATGCTGGGTTAACTAACTGGAATCAAAATAAAAACTTAAAAAGAATGCCTGCTATCATTATTTCAGTTCATACTATACTGGAGATCTAAGGGCAATAGAAAAGAGAAATTAAAAGCATAAGAATTTAAAATTATTCACGGATATGCCTGCCCACAGAGAAAAATCCAAATAAATCTAAAAACTATTAGCATTAATGGGAAAGCTTGGCAGTATTGCTGGATATAAGGTCAATGTATAAAAGTTAAGTTCATTTCAAAACATGAGCAACAAATAGAAAACATATATAACACTTTAACATAGTAACAAAACTAAGATGCCTAGGAATTAATCTAACAGAAGATATGCATAGCCTTTATGAAGAAAATTATAAAACATACCAAAGGAAATTCTAAAACCTAAATAAATGGAGAGTTAAACCACAGAATAAAAAATTTACAAATAGAAAAATTTACAAAACTGACAGAGAGTATAAGTAAAATTTCAATTACAAGCCAATCACTTTTTTTTTTTTTTTTGGTTTCTGGTGGAAATTGACAAGTTGGCTCTAAACTATTCAGATGGCTAACAGGCAAAGAAGAAATTCTGAAGAATATAAACAAGGTATAGGAAACTTGCCCTAACAGATATCCTGTCTTTTTTTTTTTTTTTTTAATGCTTATTTATTTGAGAGAGAGGGAGAGTACACGTGAGTAAGGGAGCGACGGGGGTGGGGGGTGGGGGGTGGAGGGAGAATCCCAAGCAGACTCCAAGCTCAGCATAGAGCCAGACATGGGGCTCCATCTCGTGAATTGTTAAGATCACTACGTGAGCTGAAATCAAGAGTCAGACGCTTATCTGACTGAACCACCCAGGTGCCCCAGCTACCCCATCTTATAAGTATTTTAATTAAAACACAGTGTAGTACTGGCATAAGGAAATAGAGATCAATGAAATGGAACAGACCTCAAAATCAGACCCATAAATATACTATATAACCTGATACATTAAGATGCTTAGTCAGTTAAGTGCCCAATTCTTGATATTGCCTCAAGTCATGTAATATTCTCAATGATGAACAAAGAGAGCTCACTTCTTCAGTAACTCTAGGACATCTGGTTTTCCATTAAGGCACAGAAATTAAATTCTTTCTTTATTCTCAAAAATCAGTTTCAATTGGATTACAGTCCTAAATATGAATGGAAAATCTTTAGAAGACAATTTGAGAATATCTATATGACTTTAGAATACAAAGTTTACTTAAAACTAAATATCAGAATCAAAAATATAAACTACAAGCATACATATAAAATACATATATATTGTATTTTATATTATTACAATATGTATTGTACTGTAAACACATATACATCCCCAAAATGAGCAAAAGACTTGAGCAGGCACCTCACAAAAGAGGAAATCGAAACCTAAAAGATGCCCAATTTATTCTGTAATCAAAGAAATTCAGATGGCTAGTATAGGAGATAATATTTCACACTCATCAAATTGTAAAAATTTTTTAAACTGGTCAATTTTGAGTACAGAGCAATGAGTACTCTCACACACAGCTATGAGAAGTGTAAATTAATACAAGCACTTTGGAAAGTAAATAGCATTATTTAGTAAATACCTGGCTATGTTCTCTGTAAAAACTCCAGCATTTGTGCACCAATAATCACATATAAGGTTCACAGCAGTTAACATTTATTATAGCACAAAATGGAAGCAACTCAAATGACCTTCAATGGATAAACTGTGGTTTACATGGTGGAATACATTACATTTGAGCAGACACAAATTCAGTAAACCACAGCTACTAAAATTAACATGGATGAATCTCAGGAATATAATTTTGAGTTTAAAAAAATCAGAATTACATGCACAATATATTTCCACATGTAAAAAGCTGAAAACACAAAAATATAATATTTTATTTAGGAGTATATGGTACAACTAAAGAAAAGGCAAGAATGGGGTGCCTGGTGGCTTAGTCAGTTAAGCGTCCAGTTCTTGATTCTGACTCAAGTCATGACCTCACAGTTGTGAGATCAAGCCCTGAATAGGGCTCCAGGCTGGGCATGGAGTCTGCTTAAAATTCTCTCTCTCTCCCTTACCCTCCACCCCTCCCCCATGTTTTGTCTCAATCACTCTCTCTCAAAAAAAAGGAAAGAAAAGAAAAAGAAAGAAAGAAAAGGCAAGAAAAGATAGCAAAGTTGTAGAATAATGGTTTCTCCTGTGAGGGGTGGGGATGGATCATGGGTAGAGAATAGTATGTACCATTAGGCAGGGGCCCTCATGGGTCTCTAGTAGCATTTACAATTTTCTGGTTTTTTACTGAGCCAGCCAGGTGCCCCAACAATTTTCTATTTCTTAAGAAATAAGTACATGGGTTTTTGTTTTATTATTATTTTAACTATATATATATACTAATATACACTCCTGTGTGTATGATTTATTTAATAATAATAAAATTTAACCATATTATTCCTTGAAACTACAGTTCCACATCAAACGTTTTTCTTGAAAAACTGAATGAACAAGGACATAAAAGACTGGAGAGAGGTAGTGGGGGGTGGGGTGAGTTGGGGAGTGGTACTGACAGAGATGTTTACAATGTCCCTAATTTTCTTTTGAACTTTAGTTTTCCATTTTATCTTAATGCTTCCTATGTCTATCTAAAAATCCTTCCTTTTTTTTTTTTTTTTTAAGTTTTTACTTACTTATTTTGAGAGAGACAGAGACAGTGTAAGCAGGGGAGGGATAGAAAGGGAGGGAGAGAATCCCAAGCAGGCTCCTCACTGCTAGAACAGAGCTCAATGGGGACCTCAAACCTACGAAACTGCCAGGTCATGACCCCAGCCAAAACCAGAGTTGGACGTTCAATAGACTGAGCCACCCAGGTGCCCTAAAAGTCTTTCTTATGCCACAAACCTAAACTCTTTAGTCTCTTCTCTTTGAAATGTTTTCTAGCTTCTGACCTGTGTTTTTGGCTTTGTTTTTTTTTTTTTTTTTATTTCTAGGAGAGAGAGAGACAGCATGAGCAGGGGAGGGTCAGAGAGAGAGGGAGTCACAGACTCTGAAACAGGCTCCAGGCTCTGAGCTGGCAGTCAGCACAGAGCCCGACGCGGGGCTCGAACCCACGAACTGCGAGATCATGACCTAAGCGAAAGTTGGACGCTTAACCAACTAAGCCACCCAGGCGCCCCTTTTTTTTTTTATTTTTTTAATGTTTATTTATTTTTTGAGAGACAGAGAGCATGAGTGGGGTGGGGGCAGAGAG